CTTTGTAATGCTTCGCTGCAACACTCGCGTTATCAAATAATCTCCACAATCAATATGATCATTATCATCTCATCAGGATGGTTTTGTCGTCATCATCATCACCACCACCATCAGCACCATCAGCACCACCACCACCACCATTGTTATCATCTCAGTCATCTCAAACATCATCATCATCGAAATCACCATCATCATCATCATCATCATCATCTGAATCATCACCGCATTCGCCCTGTATCTGTGAAAGCTCGACAACATTCTTTAGAATTCCTTGCTTTCCTGCGCAAAAAACAGCAATGTCAAAAATTACATTCACTCGTATTCGACATCTCTGAAGAAGAAAATTTTCTTCCTCCTTCCTCGAACACAAAATATTTCTTTTGACTTTTCCAATCACCGTCTCATTTTTCCTCTCCTCCCCTCCCTCCCATCCCTCCCATCCCTCCCCTCCTCTACCTGGCATCGGATAATGCTCTGCAAACGTCTTGAGCTCTTCGCTGTCAAACATTTGCAAGAAGAAGGCTTCATCCTCCACCGATCGCTTCTTCACGCGCCCATCATGCAAGGCCTGCACACTTGGTCCTGTCTCTTGCTCCCTCTCCTCCTCCTCCCTCGCTGTCCTTCTCGATCCAACCTCCGTCGGCCTTTTCGATCTCCTTCAGACATGTCCCGACTCTTCACAAAACAAACAGATGGCTGCACCTGTCCTGGTACGAATGAGCTTCAGGCAGAGGAGGCAGGAGCTCATCCGTCGCGTTGCTTGAGCTTGAACCAGATTGCGCCGATCTGTCAATCGAAGTCTTGTCAAACAACAACGTATTTGCGTCAAACAACAACACTGCAAACACGTTGTTGTTAGCGTCATCATCATCATCGCCATCATCTCCATCTCCATCATCATCATCATCATCATCATCATCTACATCACCATCTCCATCTCCATCTCCATCATCATCATCATCATCATCATCATCATCATCATCATCATCATCATATCTCTAACTCTAACTCTAACTCCATTGTCCTCAAACCTCTAAAATTGCAACACTGTCCTCCAAAACTTTCCACCTACAAGTTCTCACCTTCTCTCCCTGAAGCTCTGCCGTGATTGAGACCCATGAACAACTTGATCCGTGAAAACGTTCTTCCTCCTCTCCATATCCTCATGCTGCTCCAGGTCCGGCACAAACGCTGGAGGGATCTGCAAACAAACATCATCTTGATTCTGTTCAACACCATCATGGTATGCACCAACGGCCGGATGGATGGTGACTTGGTATGCTGAGCCACAAACTTGCTCTTCCTCTGGCTCTGCAAGCTCTCAAGCTGAAGCAGCAAGTCACATCTAAAACTCCTCTAGGTTCACTGCAGCACCTGGCCAACCTTCCTAGCATCAAGATTCGAATCTCTGTTGCTCGCCATGGCGCTCATTGGCGGAGGACCAGCTCTGTCCTCTGTGCTGGCAGAGCTCCTACTTCTCGTGACATTCAAGAAGCTGTTCGCCTGCAAGGACAACTTCACCTTCTCACACTTCATGCTATCAGGCACATACCCGATCGATGGCTTCATCGGGGTTGAGGGACTTCGAGTCGAAGGATGGCAGGTTCTTGATCAAGACTGCCCTTGTCATACCATTCCTGCGATCTGGGCCTTCCAACAGACTCGCTGCGATCCCTGCAATCTCTCTTCTCGGCATTCTTCCTTCCTGACTTGGTAATTTCTCTACCTCACAAACGAGATTCAACAGCCCACCCTTGCCCCTCACATGATCTTCAACTCAGAGCTTCGGCTGTAACACCATGTCAGTACTCATCACAAAGGTCTCATCGAAACATGTGACGATCTGCACTGCGATTCCCCATGGCATGCTCATAGCGCCTTGGTTCTTTTCAGTACCCCGATTTTCTCAGTCTCGGCACTATGTGTTTGCTTTTCCTGTCCTTCTCCCTCCGCTACCTTCCTTCTCTGTCCTCTCCCTCCTCTCCTTCTCCTTCTCGTGTCCTCTTCTTTCTCGCCATGCCATACACCAGATTGAGCATCGGCTTCCGATGTAGTGAGCCCCGCGGTTGGTAGGGGGTGGAATGAGGCTCATCATCGAGTCTTTGGGGGGCGATTTGGAGGTCAGGGGGGTACTGGTCTACAGGGGTAGGTCCATAGTTTCCATTTGGGTCTAGAAAGACAGGGGTACTAAAATGGATTTTAGTGGGTAATGGTCTTCAGAGAAGGGGTACCCAGTAGAAAGTAAAATTCACAGATGGGGTAGGTAGGTCTCGGACAGAGAAGAGGGAGTGGGGGTAGTGCCGTTTGGCCTGTGCGACAGTGTCAGGGTCAAGCCTCCTCGACTCTCCTGATTGTCCTCGTACTGATTTTTAACTTAACTTTGAGTAAAGAAGCTGTACGGTTGATGACCGGAAGTCAGGGCAGAGCAGAGCGCAACGGGGGAGAAAGGGGAGGAGCAGGACCAGGACCAGGAGAGCAGGAGAGCAGGAGAGAGCAAGAGAGCAAGAGAGCAAGAGAGCAAGAGAGCAAGAGAGCATGAGCATGAAGACAGGAGGGTAAGAAAGTAGACTACAGGAAGCGGCGCAAAGACCTAGAATTCTTCAGAACAGAACCCCCTGATTGAGATGAATGCTGAAAGAAGAGGCTCGACGAAAGAATTCCCTTACTTTCGGCCGACGTTCAGCCCACAGTTTCGACCAGCCAAGGGCTTCTTCTATGATCATGCCTCGCCGGTCAGTGAGAGGGCGCACAGAGATCGTTTTGTCACTGGTGGGACTCGCCCGCGAACTGGTCGATCCCCCGACGGACGGGAGAAGGAGCCGAGGAGCACAGTGGAGGACCAGGCTTCCAACGTGCTTCACCTTGTGCTGGAGAACAAGATCAGCGACGACCGCTTCCTGACCTTCGCATGCGCCGCATCGGGGGAGCTTGACGAGGCGCTGTGGAGGGAGGCATTGAAGATTATGCGGCACAGGCATGTTGAGCCGAGGGACAGTCACCGAACGGACTCGATCCATCACCGGCAGAGAAAGGCCGTCATCAAGCACATCATCCGCCCTCGGCTGGGGGCGTCCGAGGCGCTCGACGAGGCTTGCGGTGAACGCGATTGTGACCCGTGCGGCGCAGGGACTGAACTTCGCTGCTGGCAGATGCTGTCGCCTTCGACTTGGAATCTCCCTTGCGAGCAACTTCCATTGTAGGCTCCCCGTAGCCTTGTTCTTTGACCAACTCCATCAGATCTGCTGCTCGGGAGTTTTCCTTCGGAGATCCTCGGGAGTTTATTTACAGCCAGTGGTAAACACAGAGATCGTGAGCTGCTCTCGTCAAACGACTGAGAGGAGCTGGGACGCGCAGGCCTTGACCTGCTCTGACCATGATCGGTTGAAGAGAAGCAGACGGCACAGACCTTGTCGCTAGGATGAGAAGCTTTGATCTCGTTAGCCACAGCCTGAACCTGAAATTCCTTGACCAGCTGCAGGCAAGTGAGGGCGCATGATGTCACGAAAGCAAAGCTTACAGCTCTCGACTTGTCATCGATGCTTGCAAGAGTTCCCACAGCAGCGAGGGCTCGATAAACGCTGTCTTCACTCTCCGTCTTGCCGGCTTTTGGACATCGTCACATCACAAGGGAGATTGCAGCTGATGAGAGGATACCTGCATGGAGGAACTCTGCCCCACCAGAGATCGCCCGCTTCACCTGTTCCATGCCTCCGACTTCCGCAGCCTTCGTCTCGTACGCTTGGACAGCAACGTTGAGCAGCAACGTCGCGTATGCCAGGTTGACCTGAGACCAGTTGAGAGAGGGAGGCAATAAGGGAGCGCCTTCACCTGTGCGTTACCATAGGACACGGAGCCGTTGGTTGCCGGCAATACGACATCCAGTCGCTGTAGAATCAGTCAGTCTTAGAGATCACTGTTGACCAGCCGGAACCTTGGATATCAGCCCTCGCATGTCTGTGCTGCGGAAGCAATTCACGAAGAATCGGGTTGACATGATTCGTGTGGCTGCAGGAACAGACGCTGCCGGGCCGCTGGTCACACTCGCAACAGCCTTGACAACGTCAAAGTCCTCAGCGTTCTTGACTAAGTAGTTGACAACGAAAGGATTCAAAACAAGCAATCTGCAAGGTAAAGGAGTTTCAGACGTTTGGAACGGGTAATACGACGAGACCTGAGCACGTCTAAGACAGGGAAAAGATTCCCAACAGGCCACTTGAGCAGCTTGTTGCGCAGAAGCGCATACTCGTTGTTCGACGGCTTTGAAATTGCATCTTTCCCGAAGGCAACCTTGACCAGGTTGGCGAAGTAAATCTTCTCTTCACTGTTCATGGCCAGCTGGCTTAGCTTTGAGGCGAAATTTTAGATTTTTTAAGTCAGGGGCCAAGTAAAAATTTTGTACTTACGTTCTCGTCCATGCTGTTTGCAAGTGCGTCATTGAACTCCATCGCCTTCAAGGTGGATCAGCTCAGCCAGTGCGAAGGTGGTCCACAACTTACTTTCTTCTCGATGGCCTCTTGTTTTCCAGGCAGCTCGAAGAAAATCTAACGCCCAGCATCAGAGCTCGAGGGGAGCAGTGATAAAGTACAGGGTACCATCGCTTTCCGTGGGATGTGCTCTTCTGATGCAAACGTGACGAACGTTTCTTTCGCCGGCTTCTGGGACTCGTACATGGCATCGTGCGCTCCTGTCAGAGGATCCGCCCCTCTCGTGGGCCTTGACTCGGCACCGAGAGTCACGCCCTGGTTTGCGTTCTTGTCGATGAATTGAGCAATCTGTTCCAGATGATCTTGAGGCAGATCGTTGTTCCATATGAACTCCTGCAAACAAAAATGAAAAAAGGGAACGAGACCGAGACGGTGCGTACTTGAGCCACAGCATAGGGATTTTGACCATAGTTGTACCCAAGCTTGAGGGTAACTCCCTCATCGATCTCGATGTCAAAGATCCTGTCATATGTTCTCCCATCCATCATCACTTGCCCTCCGTCGCCTCCTCCACCAGCTGGCCCATCAACAACAACTCCGATCTGATCCCACTTGCTCTCTCCCGAGTTCCACGAGTAAGCATATGCCTTCTCGTCAACACGAATGATCTTGGTTGCGCCATCTTTGGTACCGGGGGCCTCGAGGGCTTCCAAGCCGGGCAACTCACTCATTTTTACTCCTCCGACTTCTTGAGCTGCTATTGCTTGCGATGCCAACGAAGCGTCATAAGCAGCGAGAACATCAGCATCAGCAAATCTGGACGTGTCACGCGAAAAAACACGAGCAATTCCATCAGCACAAGCTGTCACGATATCGCCATCTGGAAGAGTGCATACTGCCCAAACCGATCCTGTATGAGGCAGAGTTGCAACACAGTTGCCATCCCGCCAAACCTTGCAAGTCTTGTCTTCTGAAGAAGACACGATGTCTCCGGAGGGGAAAACAGATAAGGAGTAAACGAAACTTTGATGTCCATTCAAGACCATCAGGCAGTCTCCACTTAGCGCCCACAATCTAATCGAGCAGTCATTGCCAGCAGACGCGAACCCAACTCCTGGGAAATGAGCGAGCGCACGTACACAGTCTGAGTGTCCGGTGTAGGTATGCTCGCAAACGTTTCCTTTCCAGCGTTTGATGGTCTTGTCCGCCGAACCCGTCAGAATGGACCCATCCTCGAAGCAGATCGCCGCCCACACGGCTTGCTCATGGCCTGACAGCACGGAAACACAGCTCCTGGACTCAAGATCCCAAACACGCGCAGTCTTGTCCCAGGAGACGGACACCAGATGTCCAGTCGGGCTGATCGTCAGGCCGCAAACTGTGAGCGTGTGCCCCTCTAGAGTTCCCACGATCGAATCTCCCTCCCAGATGTTGATGACAGGCTTCACAATGGTTTGCCCACTCATTGTCCGGTCGTATCCACCTGAGACGACTGCCCCTTGCGGGTGCATCTTGCAGGGTGGAACCTCGGCTACACATGCAACGAAATGCTCGTGGCCGAGAAGCACAGCCGAGGCCTCAAACTGTCGCTCGCTCACCTTCGAAAGACACAAAATGTGAGAACAAGCAAGCAGAATGATTGTTGGGCGATACCTTGCTCCATTTCCTCACAGACTTGTCCCTCGAGCAGGTGACGATAGAACCGTCTGTTATTGTGCAGATCGAGCGGATGTCTTGTTCGTGCCCAACTAACTCGCATCGTAGTTTCCAGATGTCGCCGCTAGACATCTTTTGACCTGTCTAATAGCCAATTAGAGATGGAAAGAGTCCCTCCCGTCCTCTTCTTTTTCTCAAGCTAATGTAAATGCACATCTACCTCCATCGACATCAATAGACGGCATGTCCGATCTCTGATCACCTAATCCTAAGCCCTCCTTCTCTTTCCTTCCATCGTGATCATCGTTCATGATCTCATAGTACTTTGGAAACCTCAGTATCTTGACCATCATGAGTTTCATCTTCAAAGGACCTCCAAAGCCTCCCTCCCCTCCAGCTACCTCACTTCGTTCCATCACCATGCCTTACCTGCCTGTCCCTGCGCCTCTAATACAATTGTATGACCACTCTCTACTTTCCTGCTCCTCTCTTCCCTCCCTCCCTCCCTCCCCTCCCCTCCCTCCTCTGTATTTCTATGATGTATTTCGTGACAAGAACTTGCAGCTTGGTGAGAAAAGTAAGGCAACGGGGGACTTGTCGGAAAGGGGCGGGTAATACGCTTCCAGCATGCCAAACAACCAATGAGTGAATGCAGGACGGGGCTGCATTCAAATCATCACAGATAGCGGTAGGCTGGTCGCATCAGGAAGGCAGAAATTACCATCTGAGGCAAGAGGGGACTGGAGCTACAGCGGGGAGGGTGTAGTAGCGATACAAGGGGATTTTCTCAAGATCATCAAGGATCGCATCATTGCTCCGTCAGGACCTGATTGCCTCTCAACTATGAAGCAATGTATGCGTTATTGAGGTAAAGGTCTTGTACAAGAATGCCCTAGGAGCCCTAACGGAAAGACGCCTTGTAGATGGA